GGGGAAACAAAGGAGGAGGCTACAATGCTTGATAAGAAATGTATTCATTATCTTGACCATGTAATTGTAACCCCTCTGTACAGTATTTTCACAATTAAAAAAAAGATTGGGGGGGGCGGCTAGGAAGGTGGCGCAGTGGTAGGTAGAGTGCTTGCCTCGCATGTATGAGACCCTGGGCTCGATTCCTCAGCACCACATAAGCAGAAAAAGCCCGAAGTAGTGCTGTGGCTCAAGTGGTAGAGTGCTAACCTTGAGCTGAAGAGCTGAGGGACAGCGCCCAGGCTGAGTTCAGGCCCCATGACCGGCCAAAAAGAGAGAGAGAGAGAGAGAGAGAGAGAACCATAAAATCTAGATATCTGAGCTTTAACCCTTCTGGTCATCAACTATCAGTATGAACTTGGACAAGCAAGTCCCTGTTTTGTGACTGCTCTCTGATTATAAAACTGAGAGACTGGATTAGTAGTCTTCAAATATCTTTCCAACCTTAAAAAGTGGGATACTGGGGCCAAGAAGGTGGCTCAGTGGTAGAGCGCTTGCCTTGCATGCATGAGGCCCTGGGTTCGATTCCTCAGCACCACATAAGCAGGGAAAAAAAGCCAGAAGTGGTGCTGTTGCTCAAGTGGTAGAGCGCTACCCTTGAGCTGAAGAGCTGAGGGACAGCATCCAGGCCCAGAGTTCAGACCCCACAACGGGATCCAAAAAACAAACAAAAAAAAAGTGGGCTACAATAGTAGTAAGATATCAATGAAATGATCTAAACATGCTTTAATAACCATATACATTCAGCAGCTAAGAGTTAGGACTTGGGCTGGGAATGTGGCTCAGTGGTAGAGTGCTTGCCTAGCATGCATGAAGCCCTGGGTTCAATTCCTCAGCACCACATAAAGAGAAAAGGCCAGAAGAGGCATGGTGGCTCAAGTAGTAGAGTGCTAGCCTTGAGCAAAACAAGCTCAGGGACAGCGTCTATGCCCTGAGTTCAGGCTTGGGGAAAAAAAATAAAAAAAAGAGCACTCTAGCTAGCCTTGAACACAAAGTACAGGGTCAGTGCACAGGCCTCGAGTTCAAGTACTAGGACTGGCAGAAGTAAATAAGTAAATAAAGTTGTAAGCTGTCTCAAAACTAAAAAGTTAGGATTCTAGACAGGCACCAGTGGCTCACACTTATAATCCTAGCTACTTGGAAACTGAGATCTGAGGATCCTGGTTCAAAGTCAGCCGAGGTAGAAAAGTCTATGAGACTCTTATTTCCAATGAACCAGCAAAACTGGAAGTGAAGGTATGACTCAAGTGGTAGACTATCAGTCTTAAGGGAAAAAGCTAAGTAAGAGTGTGAAAGTCTTGAGTTCAAGTCTCTCCACCAACACACACACACACACACACACACACACACACACACACACACCACTAACAACAAAAACCTGACTTAGTAACATTGTAACAGTGTTGCTTCTTGTGTTATATCAGACAGAAATAGAGGTAAATTACCCACTAAATCTAGAAACCATTCTGATTCAAAATCTAGGAACATACCTGATATGCCCCCAGTCTACACCTTCAAAAAAAGGATGCCCTTTTATTTCTTCTACTCCATTATTCCCAATTCTGTTTTCAGAATCAATACAAAATCTAGAGCAAAAAAAAAAAAGTAATGTATAAATTACATTCAAGTTGCATTATTTTGTAAGGTTTAGGGTTTTTTTTAAGCATTACAATTATTTTCTGTTTACTGACATTTTTGAAGCCATTTCTTTCTGATTGCCTATAATAATATTCTAGATACTATACTGATAAAATGCGAAGTATTTTAGGGCTATTTTTTCCACTTGAAGAAATTCCAAAGTCAAATACCCTTAATAAATTCAATTTTTTTCATTTTTCCTTTTCTCTGGTGTGTGTGTGCATGCATGTGTGTACGTGTGGGTGTGCACTATGTATATACAAACACTGATACTGGGATTGAACTAAGGGCCTGGGCAATGTCCTCAGCTTTTTTGTTCAATGGTGGCATTATACCACTTGAGTTACAGTTCCACTTCCAGCCTTTTGCTGGTTCCCACCCAGGCTTGCTTTCATCTGTGATCCTCCGATCTCTGCCTCCCAAGTAGCTAGGATTACAGGTATGCAAAAGCAGAATGGATATATCAAAGATCATGTTCCATCTTGAATATTTTATATAATATCTATCAATCATCTAATTTTACAAGTTACCCCAATATTTGTTCTTTGCAGCCACACAAAACTGTACCAAACACCACTTCTTGGTTGATGAAAAGAATGGAAATTTTGCTTGCATTTCATACATAGACTCCCCCCCCCCCTTTTCTCTTCAATAGCACTGGGTCATTACATTTTTATTATTATTATTTTTGTCGGCCATTGGGCTTGAACTCAGGGCCTGGGTACTATCCTTAAGTTTTTTTGCTCAAGGCTAGCAATCTACCACTTTTGAGCCACTGTATCACTTCTGGTTTTCTTGTGTTTAACTGGATAGGAGTCTCATGGACTTTCCTGCCCAGGCTGGCTTTGAACTTCGAGTCTTAGATCTCAGCCTCCTAAGTAGTTAGGATTATAAGTGTGAGCCAGTAGCACCTGGCTATGACCTTTTGCTTTTAAAAAATATCTGCAACTATGTAAGAACCTTTCCATCGTAAAAAAATTTTTTTTCAATTCCCTAAATTAGCTCTTTTTCCTCTTCCCACATTTTCCCTGTGGACTTCCTTTTAGGAAGCTGGCCTATATAAATCAATAACATTCTCTCTCGCCCTACAAAAATGAAACAGATACTTGACCAGTGAGGTTTTAGGACACCCTAAGCTACTCCAAGAATTTAACCACTAACCTGAGAATTAAATCCTTAGCTTTCTCAGAGATAGGTACTTCTGGAGGAAATACTAGCGTTTCTTTCCAGTTCATCACTTTTCTGTATGTTTCTTGAGGTGTTTCAGAACAGAAAGGTGGATAGCCTACATAGTAAGAAAAACAAAGGTTGCATCAACTTTCATGATCAATTAAATTACATCTACCAAATACTTGCCACAACAAAACAACCCTGAATACTTTGATAACAATAAAGTAACGCTAACATTTATATTTATTTATTTTGTATTTTTGCCAGTCCTGGGGCTTGAATTCAGAGCCTGGGAACTGGCTCTAAGCTTCTTTTGCTCAAGGCTAGCACTCTACTACTTGAGCCACAGCACCACTTCCGGCCTTTTCTGTTTATGTGATACTGAGCAATCGAACACAGAGCTTCATGCATGTTAGGCAAGCACTCTACCACTAAGCTACATTCCCAGCCCACACATTTATCAATAATGGATTTAGGGTATCCATCCTCTCAATTCACCTGAAGAGCCAAAGTTGTTTTTTGTGGGGTTTTTTTTTTGGTGTTGGTACTGAGGCTTGAGCTCCCACCCCCCCTTTTTTTTTGCCAGTCCTGGGGCTTAAACTCAGGGCCTGGGCTCTGTCCCTGAGCTTCTTTTTGCTCAAGGCTAGCACTCTACTGTTTGAGCCACAGCACCACTTCCAACCATTTCTGTTTATGTGATAATGAGGAATCGAACCTGGGGCTTCATGTATGCTAGGCAAGTACTCTACCACTAAGCTACATTCCCAGCCCAAGGTTTGAGCTCTTGCTTAGCTCTTTCACTCAAAGCTAGCACTCTACCCCTTGAACCCCAAGTGTCTTATCAGTTGTCTAGGATTATAGGTTATGCCCACTGGGAACGAGCTGAGGTTAACCAACTTTGCTTCTTGCAACAGGACCTGGTATTTATCATTATGTGCATAACACTGAGAAGGTGGAAGTGAATTTAAAATAGTGCAGCTACTTTTGTCCTTATCTGTAAATAGGTTCAAACAATAGCACTCAAAGGAAATGTCCACACTGTGTATAAAAATTAAGAACAGAACATACCTATTAACATTTCATACATAATGACTCCCAGAGACCACCAATCACACAGTTTGTTATAACCAGTCTGCATGAACACCTCTGGCGCAATATAATCTGGTGTCCCAACTGTGGAGTATGCCTGCAAAAGAACAGCTTTTTAAACCGGCATTCTGTGTGTGTGAGAGTATGAGTATGTGTTGCCAGTACTGGGGCTTGGACTCAAGGACTTAGCTTTTGCTTCAATGCTGACATTCTACTCCTGGCTTTTTGCTGGTTAATTGGAGATAAGTCTCATGGACATGCTTGCCCAGGCTGGCTTCAAATCATGACTCTCAGATCTCAGCTTCCTAAGTAGCTGGGATTATAGGCATGAGCCATGGGTGCTTGGCTTCAAACAAACCATTGAAAACAAAAACAGCACTAGACAAGAAAGTCACTCCCCCCCACCCCCCAGTCCTAGGGCTTTAACTCAAGGCCTAGGCATTATCCCTGAGCTTCTTTGTGCGCAAGGCTAGCGTTCTACCACTTGAGCCACAGCACCACTTCCAAGAAAGTAGATTTTTTGACTAATATATTTTCCATGTTTATCAAGTGTAAGGTTTAGTGATGGTACTGAGTAAGATAAGATGCTATAGAAATGTGATTTCTCTCCTATAAGAAGCTCAAGTAAGCTGGGTGCTATTAGTTCATGTCTGTAATTCCATTCAGGTAGGCTAGTACTCTAACACTTGAGCCATACCTTTACTTCTAGCTTTTCTGGTGGTTAACTGGAGATGAGTCTCACAGACTTTTCTCCCCATACTGGCTTTGAACCATGATCCTAAGATCTCAGCTTCCTGAGTAGCTAGGATTTCAGGCTAGTGACTAGTCTTTTTTTAATTCTTTATTATTTTATTTTATTTGTGAACATACTGTACAGAGGGGTTACAATTACTGTTTTAATTCTTAATTCCCATAAAATCCTACAAAAATTCTATCTTTAAGGCAGTTGTTTTCAATAAGGGGTCCTAACTGTTTGAAAATATGTGACAGCAGATTCTGTCATCTCTATGACTACGTGACTGTAATTTGTGGGCAGAGAAACTTTCCTACTCCAAATACCAATATATTACTCTTGACTTTTCCCTTGGGAAACACCAATATGAGCACTTACCATCTGTTAACACTCTGTCATCTGTTAATTCTGCTGCCATATTTTTGTTTTGCTTTGTAGATCGGGTCTCAACTATGAAGCCAACGCAATCTCCTGAATGCTGGGATGTGCCAACATGTCAGACCCCTACCACACCATTCATCTATTATAAATAGGAATACAGCAATTCTTTTCTCAACTATAAAATCTAATCTAAAGCAGATACATTTAAAGGGAAAATGTTTTTCACCTTCATGCAGAACTTGATGTTTAAAAACAACACTGAACTGAACTGAACTGAACAAAAGGACAGTGAGACTGAGGCCAGCCTTAGTGGCATGCTGAGTCCATTACATGTAAAAAACAAGCTATGACCCTGGAAAGATTTTCTAGCATAGTTTGTAATTACTTGGATTAGTAAGAAAATGAACTCAAAGATCCAGAGGCCATTTATATTTTTTGTTTTGTTTTGGTCATGCAGCTTGAACTCTCTGGGCCTGGGTGCTGTCCCTGAGCTTTTCAGTCCAAGACCATTTAAGCCACAGCGCCACTTCTGGTTTCTAGTGCTTTAGTGGAGATAAGAGTCTCACAGATTTGGGCTGACGTTGAACAGTGATCCTCAGATCTCAGCCTCCTGAGTAGCTAGGGATACAGGAATGAGCCACAGGTGCCCGGCTCATTTATATGGTTTTAATGGGTGCTAAGAGTATTATTTGAATCAGTACCTTTTCATCACTTGGTTGAACAAATATTTCTAAAGTATCTATATGTATTCGGCATTGAATAAAAAAAAATGAGGAAAACAAAATCAAAAGGCACATTCTTGGGTGACAGAGATGTACTCACTACCTCACTTAGAAAATATTAACCCCTCTGTACCTTTATAATAAAAATACATTTAGTTTTTTTCATTTAATTTTTCATTTTCATTTTTAATTTTTTTCTAAAGGCACATTCCTAATCTTAAGAATATCAGCATCTGGGCTGGGAAGGTGGCTCAGTGGTAGAGTGCTTGCCTTGCATGCATGAGGCCCTGGGTTCGATTCCTCAGCACCACATATGCAGAAAAAGCCACAAGTGGCGCTGTGGCTCAAGTGGTACAGCGCTAGCCTTGAGCTGAAGAGCTGAGGGACAGCGCCCAGGCCCAGAGTTCAGGCCCCACAACCGGCAAAAAAAAAAAAAAAAAAAAGAATATCAGCATCTGGCTGGGTACTGGTGGCTCATGCCTATTAAGCCTCCCTACTCAGGAGGATCAAGGTTCAAGCCAGCCCTGCCAGACAAAACTGAGAGACTCCTATCTCCTCAACCAAGTGGAGGTAGAGCACCAGCTTTGAAGAAAAAAAGCTAAGTGACAGTGCCCAAGCCCTGAGTTCTATCCACAGTATGGGTGCAAACACTCATATATAAAATGTGGCTGACTCACCAACTGTCTCCTGTTCTTCTTCCATGTTTCTGCTTTCCTCTTGGAGTTCATATTCTGAAATGCTAATTTCAACAGGACAAAATTGTCATCATAAGGGGAAAACTCTCACCAAAACCCTAAATCACATAGCCAGACAGCCAGACACACATACATATATAACACATGGATCAATTTAGGGAGCAGAGAGAGGAAGAAAACTTCTGTTCTTAATAGTATTGAATTAAAGCAGCTATATTTTAATTGGAAGAGGAGAAAAAAGTAACAAAGCAAACTTACAGAAGTCACTTGGTGGGTTGTGTGTGAGATTTCTGTAGAATTCAGTCCTGTGAGCTTTCTTTAACCCCGTGCATAAACCAAAATCAGATAACTTTACATGTCCCTAAAAATAAAAAGTCCCAGTAACACCAGATTATATATTAACATTGAAAATAGCAACTAAAAACAAAAACATCTTATTAGAAACTCTTCTTTTAGAATGTATTATAAAAATTCTTAGCTCAGAACTCATATTGGCTGGGACCTGGTGGCTCAGGCCTACACAGGAAGATAAGATCTGAGGATCCTGGTGGGAAGCCAGTCAGTCCAAGACAAATCAATGAGATTATTATCTCCAACAAACCAGCTAAAAAGCTAGAAGTGGAAATGTGGCTGAAGTGGTAGAACACCAGCCTTAAATGAAAAAGATAAGGGACAGGGCCCAGGTCCTGAGTTCAAGCCCCAATAAGAAAAAAGAATTCATCATGGTGAAAATGCAAAATTATAAACATCTCAGGATGATGATTTTAAAAAGTAGAAAACAGACAAAAATAGGAGTCATATCCCCATGGTGTCCTTCCCCTCCAATCCTATCTTACTGTATCATTCTATGAAACAATGTAGTTTACCAATGATCTGAAATTGTGGGTGACCATTTTCAACCAAACTACCAGCTCTATTATTCTGTAAAACAACAGCAGAGCCTAATAAGCCTCTAGTTGAGTCACGTGCCTTGGCATCCAATAAAAGGTTGTCTGGCTTAATATCTCGATGAATAAAACCCAACTGGTGGATTGCATCTATTGCTAGAACAGTCTCTGAAATGTAGAACTGTGTTTCCTCTTCTGACAAGGTATCCTTCTTCATTAACAATGTCATCATGTCACCTAAATAAAGGAAGGTACCATGTTAACTGAAAAGGCCTTGAAGGGAAAAATATGCTGCAAAAGTTTGTGTATGAGTGTGTGAATGTGTATGTATGTGTTTGTGCACATGTACCAGTACTAGGGCTTGAACTCAGGACCTGGGCCCTGTCCTTCACCTTTTTTACTCACGGTTGGGGCTCTATCACTTGAGCCATAGCTCCACTTCTAGCTTTTTTTTATAGGCATGAGCTGCCTTTGACCTGCTTTTTTCTATGTTTGACTTGGCACTTCATAGTCACACTTATAACCACTTGTGGGATGTCACATGTAATGGCTCTGGGACAGAGTATCAAATCAAATTAGAGCAGATCTGATCATCTAAAAGTCAGTCTTCAGAATAAATTGATGAAGGTAAATGCCAAATTGTGCAAAAGAATCAGAATATCTAGATACATTCCCTTCTGAAGTTTCAAAAACAGCCTGAAATGGGCATTGGTAGCTCAAGCCTGTAATCTTAGCTATTCAGGTGGTTAACATATTAAGATCAAAGCTCAGGCCAGCCTAGGAAGACAAATCCATGAGATACTTTTATCTCCAATTATGCTGCAAAACACCAGGCTTAAGTAGTAGAGTGCCAGCCCTGAGCAAAAGCCAAGCAAGAATACAATTACGTGAATTCAAGTCCCAGTTCTGGCATATAGAAACAAATAGCTGAGCTTATTAGTCCAAGTAAAATAGTGTATCAGCCCACTACAAAAGTTACTTCTAGACATTCTTTTATTTTCAAGTATTTTTCTTTAAAAAGGGAAATGTTTTAAGTACTATAAACCCTAATGTAGTTCTAACATACAACTGACAACTGATAACTTTTTTAATATATGCTTTAAGTCTTGAAAAATATAATATGCAAGTCAGGTACTGATGACTCATGCCTATAATCCCAGTTACGCAGGGGCCAAGATCTGAAGACTGAAGTTTAAAGCTAGCCCAAGCAAAGAAAAAAAAAAAAAAATGCCATGAGACTCATCTCCAATTAACTACCAAAATGTTAGAAATGGAGCTGTGACTCATGCTGTAGAACTCAGCCTTGAGCAAACAAGCTCAGGGACAGTGCCTGGACCCTGAGTTCAAGCCCTAGTAGGGCACACAAAATACATAATAACAATGTAATAATCATAATAATAATACATAGAAGTATTCTTTTTCCTCCATTCCCACTTTATTCCCCCCCCCCCTCAGCAGAGCAATGATAGATGGATTTGGTTTGGTGTATATCCTTCCAGCTTACTTGTTTTTGTTTTTGTGCTGGTCTTGGGGCTTGAACTCAGGGCCTGGGCTTGGGCACTGACCCTGAGCTTTTTTGCTCAAAGTGAACACTCTCCCCCTCAGCCACAGTTCCACTTTTGACTTTTTTTTGGTAGTTTACTGGAGATAAGAGTCTCACGAACTTTACTGCCAGGGCTGGCTTTGAATTGCCATCCTCAGATCTCAGCCAGTGTTAGCAAAGATTACCAAGATTCTGGCAGCCAGCTCTTCCTCCTTACTTTTAAATTTTGCTTTCCTATACATATTAATCTATAAATGTATACTCTTGCATGTTCTTTAAATTGTAAAATGGGGAAAGGATCGGAATCAAAACTTTCTTTTTAAGATTCCATGAGTAAGAAAAGTCTGATAACCAAAGGAGAGACTGCATTTGGAAGAACACTGCAAACCTCACCACAGAAAAAGATAGCCAGACATGTGGCAAAACAGAAAGGTAACAGAGTTAATTTTTTAAAACAATTTGTATTTCTGCTTGGTGGAATTAGCAGAAACCAAGGCCTCCTCCTCCACAAGGTAACCCAGGCAACCTTGAACTGGCAAACTTAGTTGTGGGTCAAATCCAAACCACCAGAAAGTTTTAAACCCCACTATAGGAATGCTATGGACCAGTGACTTCCCCAGCATGACAGGTAAGCATTAGACAAGAAACCCATTGCTCCTCATATCACAAAGAGTAGCAAGGAGGTGCCATATTGAGAGTGGGCCTCCTGTTAGAGACTGACATAACGAGAAGTTGAACACCCAGGAAATGGTGGCTCGTATGGGTGAGCTAAGAAGATAAAGCAACAAGGAACTGTTGTGAAGAAACTGATTGACAGTCAGTAGCCCTGAGCATCACTACAGAAATAACACCAAACCTATAAATAGCAGAGTGCTCACTGCCAGGTGGACCTGAGAGATCGAAGCACAGGACCTGGGACACACCTTCAGGCAGACCCTGGTACAAAACTGAACCAAGATGATATAAGCCACATACATAGATCTATAAAAAGCAATGAAATTGAAAAATCTTCCAAGAAAAGCCTCTGGCAGAATCTCTGCCAACTTCCACCAGACCTTTAACAAAAAACTAACACCAGGGGCTGGGAAGGTGGCTCAGTGGTAGAGCGCTTGCCTTGCATGCTCGAGGCCCTGGGTTCGATTCCTCAGCACCACATAAGCAAAAAGAAAAAAGCCGGAAGTGGCACTGTGGCTCAAGTGGTAGAGCGCTCGCCTTGAGCTGAAGAGCTGAGGGACAGCGCCCAGGCCCAGAGTTCAGGCCCCATGACCGGACCCAAAAATAAAAATAAAAAAAAAAAAAAACTAACATCAGTACTCCTCCAATATTTCCATGAAATGGATAGGGAAGCATCATACCAACATTATTCTAATGAAGTCATTTTCTTACATTCATTCAAAAACTGGACAAGAACATGATAACAAAAGAGGATGTAGACCAATCTCCAATGAACACACAAAAGTTCTCAATATACTTGCAAACCAAATACATCAACATATTAAAAAGATCAAGCTGGATGCTGGTGGCTCATATCTGTAATCCTAGTTGCTCAGAAGGCTGAGATCTCAACATCATAGTTCAAAGCCAGCCTTGGCAGGAAAGCCTGTGAGACCCTCATTTCCAATTAACCACCAAAAATAGCAGTGGCTATTTTTGAGCAGTGGTTCACAATGATAGAATGCTATTCTTGGGCAAAAAAAACAAGGGCTAGTGTCTAGTCTCTGAATTCAGGTCCCAGTACTAACACAAAAAATAAGAAAAAGAAAAGAATATCATACACCAGGTTTAGAAGTGTGGCCCAGGTTGTAGAACATCAGCCAATTAGTGAAAGAGTCAGATATTGAGTTCAAGTTCTAGTCTTAGACAAAAATAAATACATATCAAATACCATACTCAAAACTGGTTTCATTTCAGGGATTGAAGGATTGCTCAATATAGGTCGATCAATAGACCTGATATAGCACAAAACCAGAATGAAAGATAAAAATCACTTAATTACCTCAATTGATGAGAAAAACTCTGGACAAAATTCAGCATTCTTTTATGATAAAAATTCTGAAGAAGCTAGGAAAAGAAGCACTATAACTGAACATAGTAAAAACTGTATATCACAACCTCATAGCTAACATCATACTAAACAGGAAAAAATTATTCCACAAAATCTATCAGCACTTTGGGCAATGTAACAATAAAATCAACATACATGAAAAAAAAAAACCCAAAGGGTGTTCTTCTTTATAGCAGCAATAAGCAGGCATTAGAAAAACAATTCCATTCACAATAGCCTCAAAAACAAACACCTAAGTATAAACTTAACCAAAGAAGTAAAAGACTTTTGTGATTAAAACTACACAACCTGAAATTGAAGACAGAAGATGAAAACATTTCTCAAGTTCATGGAAAACTGACACACTACAGAAAGCAATCTACAGATTCAATATATCCTCACCAAAATCCCAGGTCATTTTTCACAGAAATCAAAGTATTATTCTTAAAATTCATTTGACACCATAAAAGACCCTGAACAGCCAAAGTAATACTGATTAAAAAGAGCAATGCTGGAGGTATCACAGTATCAGACTTCAAATTATAACAAAAACAGCTTGGTACTGCATAGAAACAGGCACAAATACCAACGGAACAGACTAGAAGACTCAGAAATAAAACCTCACAAATATAGCTATCTGATTATTGACAAAGGAGCCAAAAGTATATTGGAGAAATGACAGCCTCTTCAACAAATGGTGCTAGAAAACTGATCATCTATTAGACTACCTTTCATCCTGCAGAAGAAAAATCAACTCCAAATGGATTGAAGATCATGATATAAGACCTGAAATCTTGATTACTACAGGTCACCTATAGTAATCTGTTTATTGAATAGGATTCCAACTACCCAGAAATAAAAACAATAAAAGACAAATGGCAATAGTACTAACTGGACTGGGGCTGGGAAGGTGGCTCAGTGGTAGAGTGCTTGCCTTGCATGCATGAGGCCCTGGGTTCAATTCCTCAGCACCACATAAGCAAAAAGAAAAAAGGTGGAAGTGGCGCTGTGGCTCAAGTGGTAGAGTGCTAGCCTTGAGCTGAAGGACAGCGCCCAGGCCCAGAGTTCAGCCCCCCAACCGGACCCAAAAAAAAAAAAGTACTAACTGGACACTTGTGGATAACTTGTGGTGGGAATGGGAGGGAATATGTAACTACCCCCCCTCTGTACATCACTTTTATAATAACAATTTTAAAAATAAAAATAAAATAAAGGACAAATGAGAATAAAAAATTTAAATTTCTGCACATCAAAAAGGGCAATTACTAGAATCAAGATACAGCTAACTTGCTGGGACCTGGTGGCTCACATCTGTAATCCTTACTACTCAGGAAACTGAGATTTGAGGAGGTTTGAAGCTAGCCCAGGCAGGAAGTCCATGAGACTATTATTTCCAATTAATCAGCAAAAAAATCAGGAAGTGGAGGTTGGCTCAAGTGCATCAGCTTTGATGGAAAAATCAAGCAAGAGCAAGTGGCCCAGAGTTCAATCCCCAGTACTAACATATACACAAACACATCAAAACAAAACAAAAAAGATACAATTCACAGGATGGGGAAAAAAATATTTGCCAAGTATTCAGTGGATATGAGATTAATATCTAGAATAATACAGCAAAAGAACAGATAACCCAATTGATAGGTAAATGAAATGTACAGCTTTCAAAAAAGAAATACAAGTGGCTAATACATAGAAAAAATGTTTGACATCCTTGCATTTTACAAATGACAACTATACTAAGATTCTGTCTCATCTCTGTAAGAATGACAATCATCAAGAAAACAAAAAAAGACAAATGCTGAAGAGGATGATGGGATGGGAAAAAGGCACCTTCATACACTATTGGTAAGAATGTATGTTACTGCAACCACTATGGAAATAAGTATGGAGGTTCCTCAAAAGGCTAAAATAAACCTATTTTATGATCCATTATATCACCCCTGAGCATTCATACAAAGCAAAGTAAATCAGTATATAAGAAAGAAACCTGTTGCTGAGTACAGGTGGCTCACGCCTGTAATCCTAGCTACTAAGGAGGCTGAGATCTGAGGATCATGGTTCAAAACCAGCCAGGGCAGCAAAGTCAGTGAGACTGTTATCTCCAGACTCTTAACCACCAGAAAACTGGAAGACTCTTAACCACCAAAATTGCACAGTGGCAAGTGGTAGAGCGCTAGCCTTGAGCTGACGAGCTGAGGACAGTGCCCAGGCCAACAGTTCAAGCTCCATGATCAACACACACACATACACACACACACACACACACACACACACACACACAGACACACGCACACACACACACACACAGACACACAAAGAGACCTGCATACTCAAGTTTATTGCAACTCTGTTCTCACAACAGATAAACTGTAGAATCAACTGTTCTGAATAACCTGATAAATGGACAAAAAAAACTATGGTGTGTATATATACTATGGAGTATTACTGAGCCATAAATGAAAATGGTATGTCATTTGCAGGAAAATGAATAAAACTAAATCACCATGTTTCAATGAGATAAGCCAAGCTTAAAAAGCCAAATATTTGCTGGGCGCTAGTGGCTCACACCTTAATCCTAGCTACTCAGGAGGCTGAGATCTGAGGATCACAACTTGAAGCCACACAGAGCAGGAAAATCTATGAGACTCTTTCTTTTCCAATTAACTACCCAAAAAGCCAAAAGTGAAATTGTGGCTCAAGTGGTAAAGTGCGTTGAGCACAAAAGTTCAGGGATAGCATTCAGGCCTTGAGTTCAAGCCCAAGGAGACAGACAAAAAAACCCCAAGGCTAGCTCTCTACCACTTAAGCCACAGCAC